CCGACTGAGCCACCCAGGCGCCCCTCAAATTGGTTTTAACATAAACGCATCAGAACAGAGATGCACTCGCCCCCACAGGTCTTTGGCTCCCTCCAGCGCAGGGCTCAGTTACACTGCTTTCAGGCGCCACCGGTCCCTCTTCTGCACAAGAGAAGTTCAAGTTCCTCCCTGTTACCCAGCAGCTGGAGGGGACAGAGTCCGCCTGCCTGAGCCCCACCTATTCTCTAAGCTTCAGGGAAACCGGCAAGTGCATTTTCTGAAAAAGCTGGAGGGAGTTATGTGATATTCCTTTGCTTAACAAGCAAAACAAAAGCGATGGGTTTGGGGAGTAGATGCCCCAGCAGGATCTTGCAAGGGGCTGGGAGTCTTCCTGGGGAATTGGGGGGCACCGACAAAGCGCCAGGCACGGAAGACCACCTCAGAACCTCTGCTCAGAATTTGAGGAGGCAGAGGCGGGCCAAGCCAGCCAGAGAGCGGGGTCCCTCCCCGGTTGCCTTAGGATTGTCTCTGGTCTCCAGGCCCCAGAGAGGCCTCCCTCCTTGGTCACAGGTGAGGGAATGAGCTGCAGCTGCAAGTTCTCATTCTGGAAGGTGCTGTTAAAAGCCAGTCCGGGAGCCTCCGAACGGCCCTATAGCTCCCACTGCTGTGATGCTGGGAGAGTTCTGTGGGGAGAACCCGCCAGGAACTTCCTTGGTAGAGATGGCCAAGCTGATCAAATGCTTGGGTTTGGGCATTTGGGTCCAGAAAACGTTCTAAGGCTGCCTTCTTAACAGCAGGATCTGCTTTGGGTGATAACAGGTGGAAGCATATATTTACCTGTGATGGGGTTCTCCTTCCCTTTTTATTTTTTTAAAGCAATTTGGTAGGGATTCTTTAATGTTTATTTATTTATGAGGTGGGGGGACAGAGAATCTCAAGAAGCCTCTGCACCGTGAGTGCGGAGCCCGATGTGGGGCTCCAGCCACTAACCATGAGATCACGACCTGAGCCAAAAGCAACAGTCGGACGCTCCAATGACTGACCACCCAGGCGCCCCTGCTCTTCCCTTTTTAATTTCAGATGAATTTTCACTTAATTTCCCTATTTTGTGGTTTGAGCTGTGCGTGTAGTGTGCCCATCTTGTGCACCCCATGGTTTTTGTGGGCCACACTTTGTTTGGCAGACAGGATGGGTGATATAAATGGCCATGGCGAAAGGTGGTCATTTCACCTTCACCTGTATACCTAATCTCCACAGCGACACTTATGAGAGAGGTACAATCACTATCCCCATTTTACAGCTGGGGAAACTGAGGCACCAGGAGATTATTGTTGTTTTTTCTTTTTTATGTATCTTGCCTGGGGTGAAACAAATGCTCAGAGCACCTCCACTGTGCCCTCCAGATGTCAGCTCCCTCCCCACCAGGAGGCTTTTTCTCATCCCCCTTATGGGCTCAGGCCAATCACCCACCCTGTTCACACCTCTCCCCCAGCCCAAGGGCAGGGAGCCAGGGCAGAGTGTGACCCCACTGTACCCTCCCCTAAAGCCTGCACCCCCATACTCTGCCTACTCAGTTGTCTTACTTGTTCCCCTGGTCATAAATAACTCCTGGCTCTAGGTAACCAGCGAAACCTCCAGAATCCTTTGGTTGAAGGGAACGGTGGGCCAACCTGGCCAAAGTCCATCACAGCCATGGGAGAATGGAGAAAAAAAACCTTAAAATCTGGAGTAGCTGAAAAGGGAGTTTGCTCCCCCACCTTCAGTCTTCCAGTGGTGATCCACAGGCATGGAGGGGGGTGTTCTAGGAGCAATCTTCCTACTCTGTCCCCCCAGGAGCTACTATCAGGGTCTGTCAGCAAAGATACAAATGTTGGGGTGGGGTGGGCTTGTGGGCACAGAGCTGAGTCAGGCAGTGTGTGTGTGGAGGGGTGCGTGGGAGGGGTGGGACACGTGAGGCGTCAGTGATCCACTAAATGATCCACAAAATCATTTTCTGAGCCCTTAAAGAACAATTCATTAACTTGGAAGGGGCTGGTCCACAGATACCCTGGGCTCAATGATGCCAGGAGGACAGGGGCTCAGGCATTCCCAGGCCTTGCTGGGAATTTTGTTCTCATAATTACGACTGCTATGGAGGTTAATGGAGGGGGGGGGGCTAACAGGTGCTTGGCACACAGCACGTGGTCCATGAATGGTTACCAGTTGGTCCTTTGAGTGTCACAGATGAGGATGGGTGACCTGAGCTCCCCGGTCACTCCGACTGCTCCAGGCCCCTTCCTGATAGCCAAGTCGGTCTTCTCAGGCCCTGCTGGGGGGGATGGGCGGGGGGACTTGGAGCGAGCAGCGGGGGTAGGGGATAGAGACGGGGTTTGGGCAGCGAGGGAGGACATCCGTCTAGTACCCTGGACAGCGCCTATCGGTCCAGCCCGGGCGTACCTCTTCTTGGCCCTTGGTCTGTGGGTCTCGCCCCCCACTCGTCCACAGGTCGGCCGGCAGTCCCAGTCCGCAAGGCTGTCCGTTGCCCCGCCAGCCGGCTGGGGGAGGGCAGCCCCGAGCAGATGGGCGGGGGACGCCCAGCCAGTTTGGCACAGCAACGGCCACGCGGCGCGGAGGCGGGCCCGGCGGACCCCCGGGGCCGAGGCGGACAGCGGGCAGGGGGCACCCAGGACCGCCCAGCCCCGCTCGTCACGTGAACTCCGACCGTCCCGAGGGTAGGAACCCGCCGCTGGAGCCAATTGAAATGAAAACGAGCCCAGGGCTCCTGGATTGCCTCGTCTTCTCCGGGCCTCAGTTTACCCATCCAAATCCGAGCACGGGAGAACCCAATGATCCCTAACTTGGTGAGCCGCTGGAAGATTCTGTGAGGTCGTTAGAGCGAGGGCAGGCCTCCAGCGACCGGCCAGTTCCCAGAGGCTAGCTGACACTTTACTCTGGGCCTCGGTTTCCCCTTCCAGCTCAGCCCTTCAGTCGGCAGAGCTACTCGTGGGGGGAGTCCCTCCCCTTGTTTCGAAACCTACGTGGGAACTCCTGCCGCCGCTAGGTCCCCCGCCCCGGCCTGGGGCGGGGCTCACAGGAGGTGCTGGGCGCGAATGAAGGAGCAAACTGAGGACCGCGAAGGTTCCGATGGCGCCCACATACCCCCTGCAGGTGCTCGGGTGCGCCCCCCGCCCGCGACCGCGCCGCAGATGGGATGCGAAGGCCGCACGAGGGCAGCACCTTGGGGGGCTCTGCAGTCACCCGCTCGCTCCTACCCTGCGAAGGAACAAAGACGGGAGGTGGGACCCCGGGCCGCCAGACTCCTTGGGGCGGGGCGGGGCGGGGCGGGGCGGGCGACACCGCCTCCTTAAAGCCTGGCGGCGGGCTCGGTGCGCCACCCTCCCGGGACTGCCCCCGCTGCGCGCCGCTCTTTCCCTCCCGGCTCGGTCTGCGCGCCGCTTCTCCGCAGAGCAGAGCATGGGGCTGCCTCGGAGGGCGGGGGACCCGGCGGAGCTGCGCAAGGTAGGGGCTGGGGACTGAGGGCTGGGCGGCCGGGGCGGGGACCTTGATGCGACCCGCCTGACCTCGGCCTGGGCGCCCTTCCGCAGAGCCTGAAGCCGCTGCTGGAGAAGCGCCGCCGCGCGCGCATCAACGCGAGCCTGAGGCAACTCAAGGGGCTCATCCTGCCGCTGCTGGGCAGGGAGGTGGGTGCCGGGGCTCTCGGGGGGCCGGGGGTGGGGACTCCCGGGGCGCAGAGCGAGGAGGGCGGGTGGGCCGAGGGGCCCTTGTCCCCGGAGCCGGCGAGGGGCCTCCGCGCGGCGCCCGAGGCCGAGCCCGAGCGTGGCTGGCGCCGAGGGGCCGACCCACCCCCGGCCACGCGCGCCCCACACCCCGGCGCTCACGGCAGTCGGCCGGAGATGTGTCTCGTTTGTCCGTGTCTCTCTCTGCCCCTCTCCCTCGTGGCCGGGCGCAGAGCTCCCACTGCTCGAAGCTGGAGAAGGCGGACATCCTGGAAATGACCGTGCGCTTCCTGCAGGAGCTGCCCGCGTCCTCCGGCCCGGCGGCAGCGCCCGGTGAGTGACCCACCCCGCCCCGCCCCGCCCCGCCCCGCCGCAGCCCTGCCCCACGCCCCACCGCGTGCCTCACGCCTCTCTCCGTCCGCAGCGCCCTCCGACGGCTACGGTGAGGGCTACCGCGCCTGCCTGGCGCGTCTGGCCCGTGTGCTGCCCGCCTGCCGCGTCCTGGAGCCCGCCGTGAGCGCTCGCCTGCTGGAGCACCTGCGGCGGAGGGCGGCCGGCACCACCCCCGACGGGGGGCGCGCTGGGGACTCCTGCGGCCCTCCCGCGCCTTCCCCGCCGGCCGCGCCCGCGCCCCCTGAACCTTCCCGCGGCCTCTGGAGGCCCTGGTAGCCCCCTAGCCAGTCCACGGACCCTGCTGGCTGCAAGAGACCTGGGGCGCTGGGCAGACAGAGGAAACCCGTGGTGCCAGCTGCTGTTCCCGTCACGAGGTAGCAGCCCAGCATCCACAGGCCGGAACCTGGATGTTTGTGATCTGTGTGGCGACTGAAGGTCATGCGGGCTCAGCTTAAGGCAATCAGTGGAGCAGCCCAGCCTCACCCCAACTTGGGTGCGTCTAGGTGGAGGCGAAGGGGGAAGGTGGCTGCAGAGGGAGGAAGGAAGGATCCCCCCACTGCAGCGACTGGAGGTGGGCCCTGGTACCAGGCCAGCCATGCTCGGGCAGCTGGCACCAGCCCAAAGACTGGGCCAGGAGTCTGGTCACTGCCCTCCCAGTTGGGCCTGGCTCCTTAACAGCTCAGCTTTGGAACCTCTGGACACACAATAGCAATGGCCTGAGGGGCTCTAAGGGCCGGGCAGCCATCACCTCTGCTCCTGGGCTCTCCTGTCCCATGATTTCAGTTATAGGGACCGGGTGCAGCCAAGGCTCTGTGTTGCTGGGGTTGGGGGCATTGTAACAGAGCCTTGGACTTACTTCCCCAGCGTTGTTACCTCTAGGGGGTCTTGGGGTGTGAGGAAGGGGTGGGGTAAGGAGGGTGCCCTGTGGCCTCAAGGAAGTTTGTCGCTTGGAGGGCCTGGGCCCAGCAGAGTCCATGCCAATGTGAGATGAGCAGGGCCTGTGTGTCACCCAGAGCGGCAGAAATTCAGGGGATAAGAACAAGTAAAGGAGCGGGGAAACACCTTTCCTCATTTTCTCTTGCAAACTGCTCCCTGCTACTCCTTAGGACAAGTTACTGGAAGCAACTTGTTCTTTGGGCTTCTTTTCCCTCTGCATGGAAGCAAGGGGAGCCTGAGAAGACCCAGGGAGGGGACTGCGGTCCCCAGTCCTGCGTGCCCAGGAGGAGGGGGGGGAGGCAGCTGCAGCCTGCTGGGCATGTTCCCGTTTTACGAGGATTCACTGAGCATTCGAGGGAGGTTGGCAGTCCTCCCGGCCATCCCCAGTCCAACATCCCGAGCAAGGGACCAGGGCACTAGGGACAAGAGGAGCTGACTTGGCGGGCATGTTAACTAAGTCCAACTATGTCACAAACCCATGGTGGCCTGGGCACTGATTTGGGTGGGACGCTGTGGGCATTTTCGGAGGAGTCAGTGTTAAGACGACAGGTGAGGGGCGCCTGGGTGGCTCAGTCAGTTGAGTGTTCGACTTCAGCTCAGGCCATGATCTCACCATCCGTGGGTTTGAGCCCCGCATCGGGCTCTGTGCTGACAGCTCGGAGCCTGGAGCCTGCTTTGGATTCTGTGTCTCCCTCTCTCTCTCTCTCTGCACCTCCCCCACTCGCGCTCTCTCTCTCAAAAATAAAAACATTAAAAACATTTTTTTTAATTAAAAAAAAAAAGACAACAGGTGCGCCCCCAGCCAGGAGTGTTGTCCTGCCACCTGTCAGGCCCAGCTGGCTACACTGTAAGTTCCTAGAGGGCAGGGCGAGGGCTGAGTGCACCTCTGTGACCCCCAGGAACTCAGCACGTGGTGGCTGCCTAATAAACATCGCGAGCTAACAAACAGGCAGTGTGACTGGACCCTAGCTGTGCGGAGTCCTTTTGCCCCGACTCCCACCCCTAGTCCCTGATGTCACTTTGCCTATCGGCTCCACCAAAACTTGTGCGTCCCCGGGACAAACATGGGGGAGGGTGTGGAGAACGGAAAGAGCAGTTTCTGCTGGTTTTCCCTGGTCCTGAGAATGTAAGCCTGTTTTCCTGAGTCTCCAGGAGCAGGTGGATAAGGAGGGGCAGCCCACACCCACCACATGATGTCAGGTTTCCTCCTTGGGTTGAGGACTCCGCGCTGGGTGCACAGTGAGCAGGGTCCTTGTTCCCAATACGTAATATCTTTTGACACAGGTTTGAAGACAGTAAGAACTGGCCGGCCAGAGGCCCCTTTCCCTCTTTGGGTCATATTTGCCACTTCTTGCTTCTGAGCCCCACCTGGGTCCTCGACCCTGTGACTCCCATTGACTTGACGCCAATCAAGCTATAAGACAAGCAGCCGGGAAGGAGGGGAGTGTAGACAGGCCTGTGACTCACGGGATCAGGCGTTCCAGGGAGCCTGGACCGGGTGGCTACCCGGGCCCTGGCAAGGAGCTGAGGCGTGCCCAGGCAGGTGAGGTTCTGGGCCTGCAGTGAGAAGCTGGTTTCCCAGTGGGAATAGGCAACAGCTGCCCACAAGTTCTCAGCTGGTCCTCTGAACTGGGCTTCTTGAAACAGGGATGATACCAGCCTCCTCCACAGGACCCCTTCAGGCTCCTCCCCAGGTGTTCCTAAAGGTGAACGAAGGGCAGTGCAGCCTTTTTCTACGTGGGGGAGGCTGCCTCACTCAGGGGGGCATTTAATGATCTTTAACGAGGCCCACATCGTGCCCGGTGACCAGCACTTATGATGTCCTCTCTGCTATGATCCCATGACTGAATCTAACTGGTTATCACGCTTGGTTGGACAAAAGTCTCCTGTGTCTCTCATAAACCACTGGGTGAAATGATCCAATGGCCCAAGGATAACCAGAGCACTGAGCTGTCTGGGAAACTCAGGCTGGGGCCAAACCCCCCACATCCCCCCTCCCCGGCACCAGTTACTTTGGAGAGGTCAAATCTCATTTCCATGAGGGAGGATAAAGAGCACGTTGCCAAGGAGGGATCCTCTAATAAACATTTACAAATTGCTCTGCTCTGCCTGTGAAGCCCAGACTCTGCCAATGAGTCTCCCACTGGTTTATCTGTAACAGGATCAGAATGAACATAGCCTGCGGGGAATGTCTGGAAAAAATCTACGGCTCTGCAGAACCTCCCCCAACCCCATGCTTTGGGGTGACCACTCTGGAGACAGCAGCAAGACAGAGGGGGGCTTCCCCATCATGGGCAACTATCTCCTATTTGAAACATCCATATGTGGCCATATTTAAAAAAAATTTTTTTTAATGTTTATTTATTTTTGAGAGAGGGAGAGGCAGAGAGAGAGGGAGGCACAGAATCCAAAGCAGGCTCCAGGCTCTGAGCTGTCAGCACAGAGCTCGACTAGGGGCTTGAACTCATAGACTGAGAGATCATGACCTGAGTTGAAGTCGGAGGCTTAACCAACTGAGCCATGCAGGAGTCCCTTTATGTGGCTATATATATATATATATATATTTTTTAATATAATTTATTGTCAAATTGGTTTCCATACAACACCCAGTGCTCATCCCAACAAGTGCCCTCCTTCCTGCCCATCACCCACTTTCCCCTCTCCCCCACCCCCC